CACATGGAAATTTTTATCCATTATCTAGTGACAAATACTGTAAATTCAAAAATTATTGCGTGCATTTATTATTGCTATTTTCAAGAATGGACAAAATTGTGCATTTAGTTATTGCGATTTCTAAAAAATCAGCATACAGATCTATGTTTCAGTAGTCAGAATGGGAGTTCTTATTTTTGCAATACTCAACCAGTCGCAATATTCACATTAAAACCTCGCAATAATTTTTGAATTTACAGTATTTCATGGACAATCAATTGTTTTTGGTCAAATGCAATGTTGCTTTATGATATTTTGTTTGTATTGTGCATGTTTGGCCTTTTGAATCACTATATAGCTATTGCAAGTACATGTATGTTTAATGAGACTTTTATATTATGTAAATTTATCTCCCTTGAGACTTCTTAATCACATGTATAAATACACTGCACTCAAGGAATCTGATCAGATCCCTATAAAATTAAATAGATTAAATTCAGAAACTAGTGTGGAAAATGTGTCCACAGAAACAACTTAATAGTTTTAACTTGGGCATTAATTTTTCATGATAGCAAAATTTTATTTCATCTTGTACCACAATGATTACACGTGTGTCAGTTGCTGAATAAAACATGTATTAATTTTGGATTTCTGTAACTGTGGATTCATTAATATTTGTGGGATACCATGAACCACAAATTTAAATATTTAATGAGAAATAAATTTTAGGCTTGTATGCAGATTTCGACAAAATTAAGATATCAAATATCCATGAAAATATTAATTTTACTCAATCCACAATAAACTCCTCGCTGAGCGTCTCTGGATATGACCGCAGAGGTCCAACCCTGAACAGTTGGGGCAATATAGACACAATGTTCAAGCTTGTTGATTTTGGATTGTAATTAAATATTTGACACATTATAGGTTTCTGACACAGAATAAATGTAGTCAAAGAACTTTAAATTGGTTGTATGATTTGTATTTATATTCATTGACAATTGAAGATTTCTTGCTGTTGTGTGCAATACACTGTGCTGTTGCGCAATACTTAGTAAATCTGTTTTCAGACTTTATACAAAGAATTAGCAAAATAAATTGTGACCCCCAATTTTTTTCTTTGGAAAATTGACAATTTCTGAAATCTAGAGAAAAAAAAAATTGATCCCCCCAATTTTTTTTTTATCCCCCTCCAAAAAAAATAATAATTGAAGAGAATTTTCTTTTGAGAAAATAATTGCCCCCCCCCCCCCCCCCCCCCCCCCTTTTCCAAAAAAATAAATTTGAAGAAATTTTCTTTTTGTAAAATGTGGTACAAATTAAGAGACATCCATACACTGAAACACAAGTTATTGTCTGAAAACTAGCTTGTTTCAGACCCTTTCTGGCCCCTAATTCCTGAACGGATTGGGCAATTACCCCAAAATGAATCCCAACCTTCTACTTGTGGTATTGAACCTTGTAGTACAATTTCAGAGCAATCAAAATACTTATACACAAGTTATTGTCCTGAAACTAGAAAAATGCTTGTTTTGGCCCCTTTTTGGCCCCTAATTCCTAAACGGTTGGGACCATCATCCCCAAAAACAATCCCAACCTTCCTTTTGTGGTATTGAACCTTTTGATTATATTTCATAGAGATCCATACACTTAAACTAAAGTTATTGTCCGGAAACCAAATGTGTTTTGAACGAAGACGACGACTTGATACCAATAAAAATTTTGCAGTCTAATAAAAATTGGTACTCAGAGAAATAAATGAATCAATAGTATCTAATAAGACACAGAAAATTACTGCTTTATAATTGATGAAATGGACTCATCAATAAAAGATATTGTATATGGGTGAAGTCAATAAAAATTATGCAAAAGTGTGACGAAGAGGGTAAAATTTAAACATGGTTTAAATCAAATAAATTATAGTCCACAAAATAACAGATACCCATTTAATAAGTTTATGAAACAAAAGCCTAGAAAGCAATATCAACAGTATCAGAAAAATATTTAAGAAACTAAGAAAGAAATTTAGGTAAAAATGTAGAAATCTTGTAAGCTAAAGAGAACTTTGTGTACCTTTTTTTGGATACAAACAATTATTCTAAATGAACGAGAAGGCGGGGAGGAACATTTTGATACCAAACTTACTTTAATTGTGTCAAAATATTTGAAAAATAATAAATTTATAGCTTATTTTCAAAGTTTTTTTTATCAACAAGTAATTGAAGTTTTGTTTAAAACAATAAAGTTGAATAAACACAAGTTTTTGTTCACCATATCAATTTATTTCCAAAGATGTATGCATACAAAATGATATTTAAAAAGAATTTTAGAAGTGGATGACCAATTATCTTACCTCCTATACATTTCTAGGTATATGATTGGTTAAAAGCGTCCGCGTGGAGACCGTGTATATTCCATATTAGGTTAGTAGTGAGGCTCAGCTTATTTCATACACGGTTAGTAGTGGTGTTACGTCCCTTTATAAAACAAAACGATACTGAGAAAAAATCTTAAAGGTTTCAACAGATGAAGAAATTGATGATGAAAATTGAAATAAATTCATAAAACACATTAAAACCTAACAAGTTGTTATTGTTGGCATCTGTTTTTGTAGGATCAATGGAAGTAGTTTCTTGATGCTAACGGTATTGAAGACTTGCTCATTTTGATAGGTCACTAGTCTAAATTTCACACGTTAAGATAGTCTGTAAGATAAATTCGTTACGTAATATGGTATATATGGGGTCAGTAAATTCCGTATGGGGATTCGAGCTTCACTTTCACCCCATATGGAATTTACTGACCCCATATATACCGTATTGGGTCACCAGCACACTATGTAACTAATAATATAGTAGAAACCCATTGCTATTAGAACCTGCCAAATTTTGGTGAAATGTCACACTCCTGACATGAATATTATAAATTACATTAAATAAAGAGTAAAATCCTTTTTTCTTAAATTTTATGTTTGGTCTGATGAAATACTGGTATATTCAGTAAAAAAATAAGTTTACTTTCTCTGTCTACCAGAATTACGGAAGTGAGTGTGGCATAAAATGTCAGGAGTGTGACAACTGTGTTAAAGAAAGTATCTTCTAAACAGCAGTATGCTATCAAATGCTGAGTTTTTTCACCTATTTTTTTAGTATCTGTATCAAAGATAAGGAAAATATTTTAGTAGACTGCAATGTTAAACACAAAATAGCTACTCAGATCAATTTTTCATGTCAGGAGTGTGACACTTTTTAAGCACTTTGTTGTATATATCAAAATGCTACAATTCCTTATTCATGTGTAACTGCATCATAAAATTATAATGTGTTTGATTATTGATATGAAAAATACAATTTGTATTTGAAAAATGACATATTTGATATTTTTGTATAGTTAAAATCAATTTGTCTAACTGCACACAAATATTTAATATTTGTGTTAAGCAAAACAAAAACACATTTAACCATAGCCTGTGCTTTAAATGATAAGACAATGTAACTAGGCTGAGAACTATCAGCTCTTACTGCATTTTAATATGAATATTAAACATGCTTTTGTCATAGTATGGGTAGATGTATTAAAATAATGTGATTGTCACACTTCTGACGCTGATGTGAAAGGAAACAAAATAATTAGCATTGTGCATAAGTTTCAACACTTTTGGTTGAGGCAAACTAAAGTTAGAGAACAGAAACGAATATTTCAGCATTTTTTTCCATTGTAAAGGGGCATAACTCTAGAACTGTAAAAGTGTCGCCACGAAAATTCTAACTTGAACTGTGTTTTGGGGGTAATAAGCATTGTGCATAAATTTCAACAATTTTGGTTGAGGCAAACTAAAGTTAGAGAACAGAAACGAATATTTCAGCATTTTTTTCCATTGTAAAGGGGCATAACTCTAGAACGGTATAAGTGAGGCCACCAAAATTCAAACTTGATCTGTGTTTTGTGGTAATAAGCATTGTGTATAAGTTTTATAACATTTGGTTGAGGCAAACTAAAGTTAGAGAAGGGAAACCAATTTTGGGATGTACATACAGACGGACAAGGGTAAAACTTGATGCCCCCTCCGCTACGACGGGGGCATAAAAATCCAACTTTTCTCTATTTGTTAACAAATTGAACTTGGATTTCAATTATTCTTCATAGTTTATTACACTGGTAGCAAGTAAAACTTCATATTTGAAGATTATTTCCACACAAACTATCATATGATATGACAATAGCCTGCTATTGTCAATAATGAATACTTAGTCATGTGACTGAACATAAGTACAAATAACTTGAAAGAAGTAAGAAAATACATATCAAAATGGTCTGGTATTATCAGAAAGGTTATTCGGCATCAACATGAATTTTGACCAATAAGATATGCAATTTATCACCATTCCTATGCATTCTTTTCCAATGAATTTCAGATGTGTGACAATTGCACATGCATTGCTATTTTAATGAAAAACTTTAAATAATGCAGAAGTTAACAAGAAAATAAAGACAAAGTAAATGGATGACTACTATGTCTAACTAAATGTAACAATGTCCAGCTAAATACTCTGATGTTGATTATCTAGACACTTCTTCTTTTTTATATGTAACTTTTAAAAGCAGTTTTTAAATTTATATTAGTAAAATGTCTAATTAAGACAATTTACAGTTATACCATTTTGTATGCAAATAAAGTAAAATATATATGCATTAATTTTTGTACATAAAATAACTAACGAACAATGTACTTTGACATTATATAATGTTAAAAAGTGTCTTTAAAACAATGTCACACTCTTTGACATTAATAATTTGAAATTTCTGCCAAAATTTATTTCACTTCCTACTCAATTATCTTAGTATTCTTCTGTTTTGCATCAGAACTTATTGAAAAGACATGGAAATGTTCCTTCTAATGGCAAATTATAGTGGTACCCATTCAAACTCAAATGTGACACTCCTGTTGACACCACCCATATATCACTAGTATAGCTGTTACAATTGTATGTACCAGAGAATACATGAATTGAGACTAAAAATTGGTAGAAATATAACAATTTATTATTCAACAATAAGGCAATAAGGCATAAGTTCCTTCGTATGAACATTTTTGTATTTTATCAGATCATGCAAATTCAACAAAGTAACTTTATTAAATTAAGATTATGCAATACAGATCCAGGATCCTGCAGACATGTGCATGATAATAGTCTGCAGTGCAAATATTCTGAACTTGTATTCTGTGTTTATTTTTTCATACATTTTGAATTTAAAAAAAAAAAATATCATATAGAACTTTGTTGTAGTAGTAAAATGCATCTCTAACTTGTCTACAGTAACACAGCCTGATGACATGCTATACATTGACCTTTAACCTCCAACAGAATACTGGGATGTCAAGGCCCACCAGTTCTTTAACAATTAATAATAACAGAACACTCTTTCTAAGGCAAATTGTAAAAATTTCCAGTCCTGCATAATAAGCCTCAAGAAAGTGGAAAATGGAGTGTTTACTCTTCTGCTTTATACGTCATCTTCACAAGTTTGACCAAATTACATAGATTATGATTCTTCAAGTCATTTAATTCCCATAGAGTTAGCATGATTGAATGTTGCTTTCTTAACGTCCAGTTGCAAGAGTTCGCGTGAAGTTGGCATTTTACTGCCTAGTGTTTTTTCTGTCAAATATCAAACGATCTTTGACATTTGTTGAGTGGCCCTTGAACTAGCACATCCTGGACATGAATGAAGTGTCTCATGAATAAATAAGTCACAGTCCACACAATAAATTTGTTGACATTTTTCACACATGTATACCTACAAGAATTTATAACAAAATATTAAATCATACGTCAAATGTAATATGAATTTTTGGTATCAGTGAGAGGTTTTCAATCTTTTTTTGCTAAATTCAGTTGTGCTCACAAAATATTGTGTTATAAATTTTATTCAGCCCCATTTAAATTCTATATAAAATTCTACAGTTCAACAATGTGTTGTCATTTTAATTGCACATTCAGAAAATTCTCTTTATAACAAAATATTTAAAGTTCATAGAGGAAAAACCATTTAACTTTAAGAAGGGGGGTTCCTAAAAATAATTCTGGTTCCAAACTTTGAAGAAAAAAATTTTGGATCAGGGAGAATGAAAAAAGATAATTCTGATTGAGAGTATATGCCATTAAATTTAATGTTAAGTTCTAAAAAATTTAGCACACTTTGCAAAACAAATTAATAATTTGATGCATGTGGTACCAAAAAAATAAAACCATACTCCCATCACCTTCAAGGTTAAATGGTTGTTCCCTATGTATAACAAAGTAATTAATGTTAGAACACATATTTAAGAATACTAATTAATATGAACATAATGAATCAATTGGGTAATAAAAATTATCTACTTACGGTTTGCTTCTTGAAGTCGACTCTACATGAGTAACACATTCTACAAAATAAAAAACTGAGTAAGCCTTGTTATTTATGTAAAACTTATTTTATTGACTTTCTTGTTTGTTCATTTCAAACAAAACAAAAGCTAATTTTACAGTTTTTATAATGAGATCAATACAGGAATACTATTTTTTCCTTTATGGATTAAGACTAAATTATCTTATCTTTATGAAACAAGATATTTGTAATGAACTTCAATCCATAATGTACTTACATATTTCCATACTCTGTGTTCATGTCTGACGTTATTTCTTTAAAAGGTTCTAATGGGAACAAATGATGGTATGATCTGGCTAGGTGGGGAGCTGATACCAAGGTTAATCCTGAAATAAGCAAAATTGATAAAAAGAATATATCCTCTTCAAGTATACACTACTTTTGAGTAAACTTTTTTTAATGAACTGAGTTAACAAATTATTAAAATTTCGTCTGCAATAGCTGAAATATTTTCTTTTATCAGTTTTGGGATTTTTATAGTAGAACTTTAAATTTCACCTTTAATCATGTTTAGATTCCTCAAAAATTAGACAAACCAAATAAGCTTTGAATAATCTAATAAAACAATTATCTTACAAAATATTCTTTAGGGGTCTAAATGCTGTTATAAAAAAATCAAAATTTACTTACTCAGCTAAAATCAAAGCTGCTTTTCACTATTTGAGGTGTAAGTGACACACTGTTTCAAATTTAAGAGTGATTTTTTATTATTAATTTTTCTTAAAATAGTTATAGACAACATTAACTGTGTAAGTCAGAAGCAAGAAGAAAACATACCACATGCTTTGCATTCCACAGGCAGTTCACAATATTTACTTTTACACTGTGGACAAAAGTAACCACTCCCTCCAAATCCTTCATTAGTTTTACTGTCTAAATGGCTGAAAGAAAGAAAAAATTGTAAGAAAAAAAAAAAAAAAAGAAAGAAAGAAATATTACAAAAAAATAACGAATCCTTCCAAACCATTCATCAATTTTACCGTCTAAATGACTGAGCGAAAGCAATATTACAATTAGTCAATATAACTCCTCTATCTAAATCCATTGTAAGTTTTACTTCCTTAAAAACTAATACAAAACATCCTTCCATATTGGTATTACATTAGTGGGTTTTTCTATACAAAGTAGAATCTTAATAAAACTGCATATTCACCTCAAGGAAATTGATATTCATCACGCTAAAACATCACAACCTTTTACCTGTATAATTATGATAAAATGTTTAAAAAATAATTGGTCTAAAAACCTTATTAAATAATTGTCATAAAATACCATTTTGTTCTCTCGGAATATAGAAATAAACAACAATTGTCATTTGTTTTGATTTATATGTTATTTTATTGACTTTTGAAGATTTGATATTCACTTCAGCCGTTGGCCTCAGTGAATATCATTATTTCAAAAGTCAATAAACCCACACATCAACCCCATCAAAATACAGTATAATTAAAATAAACATTTATACATCTCAATCTATAGAAATCATTTAGACAAAAAATAAATGGAAAATGGACCATGGGAAACAGATGATGCCCCATTTGCATATAACGTTATAAAGGGGCATAACTCAGGTGGTAAAAGTGACGCCACCCAAATTCAAACTTGATCTGAGTTTTGTGGTAATAAGCATTGTGTATAAGTTTCATAACATTTGGTTGAGGCAAACTAAAGTCAGAGAACGGAATAAATTTCGGGACGTACGTATGGACAAGGGTAAACCTTAATGCCCCCTCCGCTACATTGGGGGCATAAAAAACATCAAAGTACTCGATATGCCTGATTATTCTAAATAGTTTGACAAATCCAGGATATAAAACTTCTTTTTTTAATTGACCTGTCTGTTGCTGTTGACAAAATTTACAGGGTGTCCTATTTTGCATATTCTCTTCCAAAATTATGTTTTTTCATAGGTTTTTCTTTGGCCTTTTCAGAAATGCATCTCTTAAGGTGGTACCCAACACCTTGACTAATACTAATTTGGCTCGTTTAATTTTCCTAAAAATTTGACAAAATGTTTACTTTGACCCTTTGACAAAAATATAAAAATTTCAAATAATTTGAACCAACCACTTTATCAGAAAAATTTCACTGGTTATATAGCAGTTTGACAAACACTAATTTTGATCATTGAGAATCTTGATATTTCCTTAACAATACAACATGATTAAAACGTTTAGCTGATTTTTACAGAGTTATCTCCCTGTAGTGTTAGGTACCACCTTAATCATGAGAAATAAATGAATTGAAGTTAGGCATTGACGTATACAACTCATTCCTCAATAATCTTTTACTCACCACATACACATAGAAGGCATTTCTTCTTTGTCTTTAGATCCTCCTAACAGATGGTGAGGAAAACCTGTAAGAAAAGGGTCTGACTCAGTGATTTTAAATCCTACACCAATAGATATTTAAATTACTATAATAAATAAATAAAAAGGATCACTTTGAACTTGAAAGTTTTTTGCATCAAATTTTGCAGACTCTACTTGGAAAGTATTTTTGCAACCCTATTTTTCAGCCAACAATTTACAAATTGAAAGTATTTTTACAACCCATTTTGCAGACTCGGCAGTAAAACTAAGCCAAAATCAGTACATTTAAAAAAGTATATACATAGTTTGGAAATTTAAATTAGTAGCTATAAATTACTTAATACAAATGTTTCTAATAACAATGTCAAGCAGAAGTATTGCATTTATTTTTATTATACACACATTTAGATTAAAATTTTGTCTCAGTTAGATTGTAATCTTTTAGAAGCTGTACTGTGTTAATTTGTATTTTTCAACTTCATTGTATAAATATAAAACTGTCTGTTTGTCAAGTATTTACAAAATTCATGTATAAATACTCAGTCAAAAAAGTTAAGCAACATATATTTTATTCATAACACTTTAAATAATAAATTTCCAAAGTTGCGGAAATAAATTTTGATTATTTATTTTTGTCAAAGGGAAAATGCACCTTGTGGTTTATTTTTGTTGCAACAACAATCTTTAAATTGTTATGTTTAAGTATACTTTATTTTTAAATATAGATTTAAAATATGTGTTGCTGAACTTTTTTAACTCAGTTTACGTCTGATCAAACTCACCCATTCTTATTAAAGATGCCTCTGTATTGGCCTGTAAAAATTACAATATATATCTTTATTGATTCATTCATGTTGGAATTTAATAGTTAAATACATATATACAAAATTGGTTTCATTATAAATTTTAACATTTTAAGTAGCACTGAAGTTAGCTTGTCAATCTTTTACTGAAATCCTATGACATTTACATTCATATAAAAGTACCAATTTCTATTTGTTTGAAGGGTATACAGAAATTAACATAGTTAAAAAAAGAGTTATATTACAGCCGATTTCATTGAGTGTGTTGGCAAAGGTAATTTCTTTGGATAGCTTGCTTGTTAGCTGAACCTTGAAGTCATTATTAGGTCAGGTATACTACCCTTCTTTCCAAGTAACCTAGTCCAACAGACAGATAGATTGGTTATCTGTCGGACTAGTCTACTCTCAACGGAGGGTAGTTTACCTAACCTAATAATGACTTCACGGTTCAGCTAGCAAGCAAGCTAACCAAAGATATTACCTTTGCCTACACACTCAATGAAATCGGCTGTAAAATTCACTGACAAAAAGGAAACAAACAAGCATATATCAACTATTTATAGTCGTGTGTGTATCCTGCCTTTATAATACCCTTACACATTGTATGGACATTTTTGGTTAAGCACTGTTAAAGTTCAGACTTTTTTGTTAAGCACTGTTAATGTCAAGGCATATTTGGTTAAGCACTGTTAAGTCCAGACATTTTTGGTGAAGCACTATTAAAGTCTAGATTTTTTGGTTAATCACTGTTAATGTCCAGACATTTTTTGTTAAGCACTGTTAAAGTCCAGGCATATTTGGTTAAGCACTGTTCAAGTCCAGACATTTTTTGTTAAGCACTGTTAAAGTCCAGACATTTTTGGTTAAGCATTGTTAAAGTCCAGATATTTTCGGTTAAGCACTGTTAAAGTCCAGACATTTTTGGTTAAGAACTGTTAAAGTGCAGGCATATTTGGTTTAGCACTGTTAAAAATTCATACTTTTCTGGTTAAGCACTGTTAAAGTTCAGACTTTTTTGGTTGAGCACTGTTAAAGTGCAGGCATATTTGGTTAAGCATTGTTAAAAATTCAGACTTTTCTGGTTAAGCACTGTTAAAGTTCAGACTTTTTTGGTTAAAGGCTGTTAGTTCAGAATTTTTTGGTTAAGCATTGTAAAAGTCTAGTTTTTTTTTGTAAGCACTGTTAAAGTTCAGACTTTTTAGGATAAAGACTGTTACAGATATTTTTGGTTAAGCACTGTTAAAGTCCAGGTATATTTGGTTAAGCCCTGTTAAAGTTCCGACATTTTTGACTTTGTATCATTCAAGTCAAGAACACCTCCTTTATAAAATAATTTTACCTACCTATCTTTCCTATATTTTGCTGCCAGGAGACAGGAAACAAGTCTATATTTTTATTTTTTGCCCTAATTAATTATATAATATGTCAACATCAACCTGGCAGATATATAACTTATTGTAAAAATGCTTACTGTAGCTGGTGGAGGATCTATATGTTGCAACAGTAAGTCCTTGAAATGATTTTCATCTAGTATAACATTATAAATCCCTGTAAAATGAAAAATTTAACTTAAACTATAATGAAAGCTCTGTGGATTCATTATTATTCGTCTGATACCAATTTTGGGGGATTTCGTGGGTATTGGTGATCCACAAATTTAAATTGTTCAACAAATCAAAAATTTTATGTAGGCTTATATACATAATTTGGCAAAACCATGAAAATATAATTTCTCCTCAATCAACAAAAATTAGTACCTACATAAATAAAGAATCCACAGTAGTAATCTTTAGTTCAACAAAAATCTAAAAAGTATTCAAGTAAGTTATTTGATAAAAACATACTTAAATTCAATAAGCAATAATCGTTTGTCAAGATGTAATTTCTGATTTTTTATTTTATTGGCTTTTATATATTTTATATTTACTCTTTAAAAGGAATATATTTGAAAAGAATGAATTTTTAACTTGTTTCTAGAAAAATCATTTGCATATACATGTTTTGACCAATTGATGTTTTAGCTTTAATCAACTGAGTAAAAATTATTTTTTTTCTTTTTTTTGCAATGTTAAACAGTAACAATGCTCAAATAAATGCACCTACCATTAGTATCCATACAAAGCTTTTTACAGACCCTGATTTCTGCAGCAAGACCAATTACAGAACATCTTATATTTGTGTCTTTCATTGTCTGTAAAAAAATCAATTTAATGAATGGAGATAAATTAAAGTAATATTAATTGGAAATTCCTTAAAGGAAAACCCAGCAGATATGTCTACACAGGTAGAATATCGTGAAATATATTCTAGAAACTACAACTAAACTTTCTCAGGACAAACAAACAACAATAAAACAAAACAAATTTAGGATATAACAGGCTAGGGTCAGAAAATCTATGATTTTAAATTAAGGATGATACTGGAACCTATAGCTGGATGTAATAGTTCCAAAGCTCCAAATGCATGGGTAACACCAAAAGTTGTTATATTTCTGTCTATCCATTAAACCCTTTTCATGTCAAACATTCCTAATTGCATTTTTTCTGATATTTGAGTTGACTGAACATGCCTTAATTTTGTAATCACACGGACCTTTAACTAAATAAGATTTACATTCCACATATTTTGTATGGATAGAATCTTTGCTATTATCTAAACTGGGCCCGGAAAATTATTACTGACATACTGACTGTCATACAGACATCAGTATTATAATACTTTGTGAGTACAATGTTGTGATTGGAAGAATCTATAGCTAGATGAAATCAAAATATTGTCTTATAAATAAAATCAAAAAACATATTGAGAAAAGGTAAAAATATAAAGACAGAATCATGTACCTGAATGGTTTCCATAACATTACCAGGATCACATGTTGTCAAACTTCCAAAAATGATTAAAACTTCACGACTAGCATGACCTGGCATATTTCTGAAATTGAGATCATAAACGCAAATGTAAAAGCAGTTAATTTTATTGTGGAAAACTTTTCAGAGTTTCGGCTTTACATTGGCATTCAGTTTGAGCAAGACATGTGCATTGTTCAACTGCTAATTCAATTTTACGTGATTCATGATTTCCAGTGCTTATTTTGTGTGCTATGTATTTTTTTCTTCAAGTTTCCAAAACACAATAGATTATTATTTTTACTGTATTGTAAAAGATGTTTTCTAATTTGAAGTGTTTCACATAGTAATATACATTGTTACCAACAACAGACAACTATCACCAGGAAAGTTACGATATGTATAAATAATTTTCCAAAAATTAAAAAGAAGCTTTAATTACACCTACCATTTTAGTGTTGAGGTAGGTAAATCCAAAAGTATTATTTTGATTGATTGATTGATTGTTGATAGCTTAACATCCAGTGGCAAACTGTTCATGCAAATTCAGAAGAATTTTGAAGACTTTCTCATAACTGCATCTTCTGTTACATAGAAAATTACACAATGCAAGTACAAAATAAGTATTGCTTACTGTGGAGGTAAAACATACAAACCTCAAAGTATTCCTGGCAAGTTCTAAAGAGTTTTGTAAAGAAGGTTCTCCCTGACAGGTAGATTTTACTAAAGACTGTAAGGTAGATACATGTCTTCTGGGATTACCTGGAATTAAAGAAAAATATATTGATAAGTCAGGTAAATTAACATCAGTACCTAACAAGAATATGTGTCCATAGGGCATCCCGAACCTGCTTGCCCTATCACATTTCCATGTCCAGTGAACTACCAAAGCTGGGTCAAAATCCTGATCTAGCATATGTTATATAACCTTCACATTAGAATTAACATGTGTACTAATTCATGTTGATTTGACCACAATTTCTTGGTATGTAACTTGATAATAAAATTTAACCAAATACTGACTGGATCATTATATAAACTGATGGATGAATGAATGGACATATGCAAAGACTCAAAAACATAATGCTCCCTTACTTACTGTAGCCTTGACATAAAATATGTCTATGTTAAAATTATAATCAAATATGCATGCTATCTTACAAGTTCTCATTGTCATCTTAATCTCAATAATTTCATTTTTATCCTTATGGAATAATGACAGGAGTTAATAACTACCTCCAAGTTCAGCTATTTTCTCTGCTCGTTTATTTCTTGTCCCAATCATTCCAAGCTGACTGATAGGGTTCTGGTCAAAGTATTCCTCAACAAAGTGTTCAAGAAGCTAAAAATAATTATTTGAAATAAAATCTGTATTTTGAATGATTAACATATACACATGAAAATTTCATTATTTAAGTTACCATTTATTGTTAGTGAATAATTTCAAAAGTAACATGTCCATCTTCCTTCCCAGTGTTTTGTCATTCTGTTGAATTTTATCTACCAGGACAAAAAAATATTAAAAAACATATACCAAACTCCAAATTAAATTCAAATAGGGGAAGTCAGCAAAAACTGACAAAATCAAACGTTTTCAACTAACTGAACGAGTGAAAAACACCTGTCATATTCCTGACTTGGTACAAGCATTTTTCTGAAGAAAACGGTGGGTTAAACCTGGTCTTATGACAATTTAGAGCTTGACCTTTTGTATAGACTGTCTATTATTGAAGACTGTATGGCTGTATGTTGTCCTCTAGATGTCTTTTGGTTATTTTCTCACTGGGTTGATGTCTCATTGACATGTACCCTATACATTCTTTTATTCGTATTGAAGTTTTTCTTCCATACCTTTCACTCATTGACAAAAGCATACTGCTACAGTCATTAGGATAGCTCTGTCTGTAAATTGTAATAGTGCAGATAATCCCAGCATTTAAATTACCTTGAGAGAACAATGGTTCAGGACTGTAATTAAAGAGTTCTTAAAAGACATACCTTCAGAGTTGAAATCAATCTTGTTGGTTTCAGATCTTGATCTTGCATTGATTCTGACATGTCCAATATCAAAAATAAATGTCTCATCTGAAATTAATATATAGGATAAATTTATTTCAATGAATTTTACTATAAGTTTGAACAGGTTTTGAAATTTTTCTCTGATATCTTTTACTCATATAGTCAAACATAACAAGATATTAAGCATTTCTGGTTATTAATTTCCTTTGATTCTATACTCAAACACATACATTTTAAATTGCTCAATAGCATGCAGAATTTAACTTTATTTGGTACACTATATATCCCCACACAAGATAACCATGACTCATTCAAAATTAAAATGTAATTACATTGTATAACAAGAAATGATTGTAACAGGATGCTGTTACGAAGTCTCCCAAACGAAGCTCCCATAATTCGTAATTCCCAGGGTCGCCTGACATTGGGCAACGTCCAGTGAAAATTGGTTTGGTCCAGTAAAGTTATATGCATTAGTGATGCCCGGGGACTAACCTTGTATATCATTCAAATCATCTTGGCATGACAAACCAGAATATATATGGTTTAGGGGTGGGGATCTCAACCATTTACAAGATACTAGAATATTGGGGGTGGGGAGAAACCCCTGGGGACTGGCCCTATTCGTCATTCAAATGTTCATTACATGACGAACAGGAATATATATGGTTTAGGGGTGGCGATCTCAACCATTTACAAGATATTAGAACATTGGGGGTGGGGGGAACCCCTGGGGACTGACCGTATACGTCAATCAAATGTTCGAGACATGACAAATAGGAATATATATGGTTTAGGGGTGGGGATCTCAACCATTTACAAGATATTAGAACTTTCTCAAATGGCAGGGGGTCGGGATGACCCCTGGGGACTAACCCTGTCTATCATTCAAACCATCTTCGCATGACAAACCAGAATATATATGGTTTAGGGGTGGGGATCTTGACCACTTAGAAGATATTAGAACTTTCTTAAATGGCAGGGGGTGGGGGTGACCCCTGGAGACTAACCCTGTATTTCATTTGATGTGAATTATCATGACAAACCAGAATATATATGGTTTAGGGGTGGGGATCTCGACCATTTACAAGATATTAGAACTTTCTCAAATGGCAAGGGGTGGGGGTGACCGCTGGGGACTAACCCTGTATAACATTTGATGTGCTTTATCATGACAAACCAGAATATATATGGTTTAGGGGTGGGGATCTCGACCATTTACAAGATATTAGAACTTTCTCAAATGGCAGGGGGTCGGGATGACCCCTGGGGACTTACCCTGTATATCATTCAAACCATCTCAGCATGACAAACCAGAATATATATGGTTAAGGGGTGGGGATCTTGACCACTTAGAAGATATTAGAACTTTCTTAAATGGCAGGGGGTGGGGGTGACCCCTGGAGACTAACCCTGTATTTCATTTGATGTGCTTTATCATGACAAACCAGAATATATATGGTTTAGGGGTGGGGATCTCGACCATTTACAAGATATTAGAACTTTCTCAAATGGCAAGGGGTGGGGGTGACCGCTGGGGACTAACCCTGTATAACATTTGATGTGCTTTATCATGACAAACCAGAATATATATGGTTTAGGGGTGGGGATCTCGACCATTTACAAGATATTAGAACTTTCTCAAATGGCAGGGGGTCGGGATGACCCCTGGGGACTTACCCTGTATATCATTCAAACCATCTCAGCATGACAAACCAGAATATATATGGTTTAGGGGTGGGGATCTTGACCACTTAGAAGATATTAGAACTTTCTTAAATGGCAGGGGATGGGGGTGACCCCTGGAGACTAACCCTGTATTTCATTTGATGTGCTTTATCATGACAAACCAGAATATATATGGTTTAGGGGTGGGGATCTCGACCATTTACAAGATATTAGAACTTTCTCAAATGGCAAGGGGTGGGGGTGACCGCTGGGGACCAACCCTGTATAACATTTGATGTGCTTTATCATGACAAACCAGAATATATATGGTTTAGGGGTGGGGATCTCGACCATTTACAAGATATTAGAACTTTCTCAAATGGCAGGGGGTCGGGATGACCCCTGAGGACTTACCCTGTATATCATTCAAACCATCTCAGCATGACAAACCAGAATATATATGGTTTAGGGGTGGGGATCTTGACCACTTAGAAGATATTAGAACTTTCTTAAATGGCAGGGGGTGGGGGTGACCCCTGGGGACTTACCCTGTATAACATTTGATGTGCTTTATCATGACAAACCAGAATATATATGGTTTAGGGGTGGGGATCTCGACCATTTACAAGATATTAGAACTTTCTCAAATGGCAGGGGGTCGGGATGACCCCTGGGGACTAACCCTGTATATCATTCAAACCATCTTAGCATGACAAACCAGAATATATATGGTTTAGGGGTGGGGATCTTGACCACTTACAAGGTATTAGAACTTTCTTAAATGGCAGGGGGTGGGGGTGACCCCTGGGGACTAACCCTGTATTTCATTTAATGGGCTTTATCATTTAGAACATTTTCAATTAAAAAGTTTGTGTCTATCACGAACAGTTTTCAATTTATAATCATTTGAAAATTTTAAAAAATAAAATCCCATAGGGTTCTATAGTAAAACCCTCTTTTCTTTTTGCCCCTCAAAGTACCCCTTTATAAACCCCATTTCAAAAACAAAACCCTGATTGCACCACTAGACATGTTAGTCTAACATATTGTGAAACCCTAAGTTAATCCGACAAGCGGTTTTGGAGAACGGGTGCGGACAAGTTCAAATTTAAAAGCGGCGGAAGAAGAAGAAGAAGAAGAAGAAGAATAATAATAATAATAAGAACTGAGCAAAAACAATAAGTCTTCCCAAACTTCGTTTGGGAGACTTAATAAATAGCTTCACGGTTTCGTAGTGTCATAGATGTCAACTTTTAAATTATGGGTTTGAGGTTCTCAATTTGGAAATATTCTGTTAAAAACTTTTCTAGGGAGTCGACTAAGTGAAAAATTATGTTGATTTAGTGTTAAATTCCAAGAGAATAATCTCTATTAACTTTTGATTTTACTTCCCATTTCAAACATAACACTACTAAATTTTCTAAGTTACAAATATGTATCTTCTGTCCTTCACTATACTTACCATTCCTAACCTAACACTGCCAATTTTCTCGAGTAACCTTCTACGCTTTGCCTTGTGTACAATGTCATCAATACTTGTTTGTAGGGATCCCTCATCATCTTCACGGATTGCTTCCCTATAATGAATGTAATCTGTTATATAACAAGTGAAACTGTGAGCTACTGCTCACTGATGATACCCCAGCCGCAAGTGGATAATTTTAATAGTGTAAAAACATGTAAGTGTTCGGTAAACAGGAAGTTGCTGAGTGATGAATCTGAAAACGCATCACATGGTATAGCTGACTAATATTAACCCTGAAACCAAATTTCAGAAATCCTTGTATTGTAGTTCCTGAGAAAAATGTGACGAAAATTTTCAACTTGGCTATCATGTGTAAAATGATACAAGTGTTCGGTAAACAGGAAATTGTTGAGTGATGAATCTGAAAACGCATCACACGGTATAGCCGACTTATATAAACCCCGAAACCAAATTTCAGAAATCCCTGTAATGTAGTTCCTGAGAAAGATGCAACGAAAATATTCATGGGACGGATGGACGGACAGACGGACAAAGGTAAAACAGTTTACCCCCACTTTTTTAAAGCGGGGGTATAATAAACCTATAATGGGTGGGACATAATTATGACAAATGAACAATTACAATAAATCGTATGAATGTTTAATGTGTACTGATGGCTATTTTAGCCTTAGATACATGATTTTTTTAATTAGTTGTTATTGACTTTGAACTAGCTGTCAGCAGTCAGGGGTACTACTTAAACAAGTGATTTCAGAATCACTTCTTCAAGTGATTTTGGCTGTGAAATATTAAAAATTTTCACAAAAATAGACACAGACATTTTAAAATCACTGAAACAAGTAATTTGAGAAGTTAAAATGTAATCACTTCAACAAGTGCTTATAACATTTTCTGGATATTTTTCCCACAAGCTTGCCTTTTTGATTGGTAAAAAGACAAGAATTCCATTGAAAAAACAACTATGTACATGCAGAAATTGTCTTTTGCTTGATTAGCCTGTCAGTTTTTACAGTTTTTTAGAAATATGAAAAAACTGGAATAATTTGTAGATCAGGACATAACCTTGAAATAGATCATTATAACTCTAAAGAAAACCAATCAGGTTACCTAATATTGTTGACCTTTGTCTGATAGTAAGAGTAGTTAATGAATATTTGATTATAGAAAAATTCCCAAGGGTACTTTGAAAAGCTTACTAACTTACTGTCCAAGCGCACTGGTGAAATTGATATACAAAAGAAAGGGATAATTAGTTCTATGTAGGAAGATTATAGAAAAGTTTGTCAAAATATGGAAAATCAATGAAATTAGCATTTGAAGATCAAAGGAAACATCAAAATCACTTAAATAGGTGATAACTGAATTTATCAAATCACTGAAATAGGTGATAATGAAATCACTTGTTTAAGTAGTACCCCTGACTGGTCAGTAACTGCTAATACTCTCAGATTTGTACTTAAGTGTCTCTTTTGTTGTGGGGATTTATGAACACCATGCTGCGTCCGGTTTGTGTTTTATATGCCTTTTTGTTTGTCTTTGTTGACATATTTAGATATAAGAAGATGTGGTATGAGTGCCAATGAGACAACTCTCCATCCAAGTCAAAATTTATAAAAGTAAACCATTATAGGTCACAGTACGGTCTTCAACACGGCGCCTTGGCTCACACCGAACAGTAAGCTATAAAGGGCCCCAAAAAATTACTAGTGTAAAACCATTCAAACGGGAAAAACCAACGGTCTAATCTATATAAAAAACAAGAAACGAGAAACACTTATGAACCACATCAACAAACGACAACTACTGAACATCAGATTCCTGACTTAGGACAGGTGCTTGTTTTTGGAGTGATTAAGATTATAACACAATGTTGACTGCTGTACCCCTATTTTTGACATTTTTACCTATTATGTCGGTTTGTTCTGTTCACACATCGTTGTCAATATAAAAGAATTTTATGCAACTGTCATACAAGTGAGAGGTTTAACTAGCTATAAAACCAGGTTTAATCCACCATTTTCTACATATAAGAAAATGCCTGTACAAAGTCAGGAATATGACAGTTGTTATCCATTTGTTTGATGTGTTTGAGCTTTAGAATTTGCCATTTACTTAGGGACTTTCAGTTTAGAACTTTCCTCGGAGTTCCGTATTTTTGTAATTTTACTTTTTAGTTAGTTTTTCTACTTTGAATAGATCTGATGATCCGTTCAGGTCCATTTGCTCCCAACACAAGTTTACCCACTTCGTCTGATTGCACCATATTTTTATTCAAATACTGGTTGAATTGTTAGATGTTTTTAGATGAATATATCAAATTATTTATATTTTCATGAATAAAAATTCATGAATTTTTTATATGAAATTTTTTTTTTTGTGATTCGATGATTAATGATTAATTATGATTTATTTAAGATTACTGTTAACTGGCCTATTTACAAAGCTAATTGGTATTATTTTAATAGAGGTAGGAGTAAAAACAATGAAGAATTTAAATGAAATAAAATGCTCCGCAGGGCGCAGCTTGATACGACCGCAGAGGTCGAACCCTGAACAGTTGGGGCAAGTATGGACACAACATTCAAGCTTGATACAGCTCTGAATTTGGATTGTGATTAAATATTTGACACAGCATAGGTTTCTGACACAGAATGAATGTGGTCTAAGAACTTAAAAATTTTAAATTGGACATTCACCTATTATGGTCCAATATCCAAAATCTAAATACATGGTTAGATTCAGCATATCAAAGAACCCCAAGAATTCAATTTTTGATGAAATCAAACAAAGTTTAATTTTGGACCCTTTTGATCTCAATGTGGACAAAAATGTTAACAGGGCCCAAAAATCAAAAATCTAAATACATGGTTAGATTCAGCATATCAAAAAACCCCATATATTCAATTTTTGTTGAAATCAAACAAAGTTTAATTTTGGACCCCGATTTGGACCAACTTGAAAACTGGGCCCATAATCAAAAATCTAAATACATGTTTAGATTCAGCATATCAAAGAACCCTAAAAATTCAATTTTTGTTAAAATCAAACTAAGTTTAATTTTGGACCCTTTGGACCTTTATGTAGACCAATTTGAAAAGGGAACCAAAAATTAAGAATCTAAATACACGGTTAGATTCGGCATATCAAAGAACCCCAATAATTCAATTTTTGATGAAATCAAACAAAGTTAAATTTTGGACCCTTTGGACTTCAATGTGGACCAATTTAAAAACGAGGCCCAAAATCCAAAAACTTAATACACGGTTAGATTCAGCATATTACAGAACCCCATATATTCAATTTTTGTTGAAATCAAACAAAGTTTAATTTTGGACCCCGATTTGGACCAACTTGAAAACTGGGCCCATAATCAAAAATCTAAATACATGGTTAGATTCAGCATATCAAAGAACCCCATATATTCAATTTTTGTTGAAATCAAACAAAGTTTAATTTTGGACCCCGATTTGGACCAACTTGAAAACTGGGCCCATAATCAAAAATCTAAATACATGGTTAGATTCAGCATATCAAAGAACCCCATATATTCAATTTTTGATGAAATCAAACAAAGTTTAATTTTGGACCCCGATTTGGACCAACTTGAAAACTGGGCCCATAATCAAAAATCTAAATACATGGTTAGATTCAGCATATCAAAGAACCCCATATATTCAATTTTTGTTGAAATCAAACAAAGTTTAATTTTGGACCCCGATTTGGACCAACTTGAAAACTGGGCCCATAATCAAAAATCTAAATACATGGTTAGATTCAGCATATCAAAGAACCCCATATATTCAATTTTTGATGAAATCAAACAAAGTTTAATTTTGGACCCTTTTGATCTCAATGTGGACAAAGTTGATAACGGGGCCCAACAATCAAAAATCTAAATACATGGTTAGATTCAGCATATCATAGAACCCCATATATTCAATTTTTGTTGAAATCAAACAAAGTTTAATTTTGGACCCCGATTTGGACCAACTTGAAAACTGGGCCCAAAATCAAAAATCTAAATACATGGTTAGATTCAGCATATCAAAGAACCCCATATATTCAATTTTTGTTGAAATCAAACAAAGTTTAATTTTGGACCCCGATTTGGACCAACTTGAAAACTGGGCCCATAATCAAAAATCTAAATACATGGTTAGATTCAGCATATCAAAGAACCCCATATATTCAATTTTTGATGAAATCAAACAAAGTTTAATTTTGGACCCTTTTGATCTCAATGTGGACAAAGTTGATAACAGGGCCCAACAATCAAAAATCTAAATACATGGTTAGATTCAGCATATCATAGAACCCCATATATTCAATTTTTGTTGAAATCAAACAAAGTTTAATTTTGGACCCCGATTTGGACCAACTTGAAAACTGGGCCCAAAATCAAAAATCTAAATACATGGTTAGATTCAGCATATCAAAGAACCCCAAGAATTCAAGAATAAAACCCCATTGAAATTGATCAAGAAATAAGCAATTTATACGAAGTATCTTCTTTTGCACAATACTGTGCAATTGATTATTTCTTGCTATTGCGCAATACTGTACAATTGACAATTTCTTGCTATTGCGCAATATTGTGCTATTGGATATTTCTTGCTATTGCGCAATACTGTGCAATTGAAGATTTCTTGCTATTGCGCAATACTGTGCAATTGAAGATTTCTTGCTATTGTGCAATACTGTGCAATTGAAAATTTCTTGCTATTGCACAATACTTATTATATAATAATTTACACATCCTGTTTGGTGTGTATCTCCTACCATATCATTATTATTTGCTTTTAAATATAAATCAGAAATAACCAACTTAAAATTTAAAATTTTAAAAGAAAAAAAAAAATCCCCCCCCCCAAATTTTTTAAACCCCTTATGATTCATCACCCCCAAACTCAATCTCAGCCTTCCCTTTGTGGTATGGTACCTTGCAGTACAATTTCAGAGAGATCCATACACTTGAACACAAGTTATTGTCTGGAAACTAGAAAAATGCTTATTTTTGGCCCCTTTTTGGCCCCCAATTCCTAAACGTTTCGGGCAATTACCCCCAAACTCAATTCCAGCTTTCCCTTTGTGATATGGAACCTTGTAGTACAATTTCAGAAATATCCAAACACTTACACACAAGTTATTGTCATGAAACTAGAAAAATGCTTGTTTTTTGCCCCTTTTTTGGCCCCTAATTCCTAACATTTTAAGGCAATTACCCCCAAAATCAATTACAGCCTTCCCTTTTTGATATGGAACCTTGTGGTACAATGTCAGAGAGATCCATACACTTACACACAAGTTATTGTCTGGAAGTTACAAAAATGCTTATTTTTGGCCCCTTTTTGGCCCCTAATTCCTTAACTGTTGGTACCATAACCCCCAAAATCAATCCCAACCTTCCTTTCGTGGTATTGAACCTTATGGTAAAATTTCATGGAGATCCATTCACTTAAACTAAAGTAAGAGTGCGAAAACCAATGTGTCTTCGGACGACGACGACGACGCCAACGTCATACTTTTAATTTTTGCGGTCGTATAAAAAATGACATAATTATTTTAAAAAGCTTGTGACCAATTCCATAGCTGTTAGGAATCTTCTGCCTTTCTTTTACATGTCTTAAGGACGAATGACTTAGTCTTTGATCATCATGACACGCTTCATTATTCATTTCGTCAAAATTATTCACAGAAGAAAACTTGTTCACGCTTAGAATGTATTTTCAATCAATAAAAAAATCCTTATTTTCTTTATTTTATAGCTAAACACTAACTTAAGCAGGATTAAAAACTAATTCAACACACTGCCTTTAAAAAGGGTGCAAACGGACTCAGGGTTCGAACGTGTGGGTGCGGATGTGAAAGGGTGCGCACGAGAATGGGAGCGAACTTGTGGGTGTGAAGTGAAAGGGGGCTTACGAGAATACACCTTATCGCTAATCCTGCTTGACCCGAGAATCAGTCCCGCAGAACTTTTGACGTCATACAACAATCACTTTTCCATTGTGGCGTCAGATGTTTTCTATTATGACGTCAAAATTTTACGGGAACTTGTGTGATGTCCAGTAATGGCGGACAAATAGCGATAAGGTGTATGGGATTGAACATGATTTGGGGGCAAACGGACACGGAATCGGTCAAATGAGAAACAAAACTCAGAAACCTAAAACCTTTAAAGTCAGGGCGAACGGACCCGGATTCAACCCTTAAGTCAAAGTACAGTGTGTCACCAAAGAATATAAAAATAATGTCATTCCCTGTCTGACACATTTTTGGAATAAGAAGTGACAATATACCAAGTCTTTTCATATTCTGTTTCCCATCTATAACCCTTTTCGCCGTCTTCGTCTCCCATTTTTCTTTATTTTCACAGTAATGTCCTATTCTAAATTTTTTTCCAGCACTTTGTGTGCGCGAAATTATCTCCCTTGTCGAAATAGTTTCGTAAAATTTGCAAATTTTGAAAGATTACTTTTTGTATCACCCTTTTAATAAATATTTTAAGATCATTAATACAAAATGATACAGATTGTTTTAATTTATACAAATATGGTGAGCTCATTATTATTAACTTTTAGATATGCGAAACTAACTTACAGAATAAATACTAGGTAGTAGAGGTCAAGGACATTCGAACTCGAAACCGAAAATGACTAAAAATTTTGAAGTGTTGCCTCAGATATAAAATGTCTCACATAATCATCAGAGGCCGCTTCGGGTAAATTTATGTTATATAGCGAAACCATAATAAATTCTAAAAAGATTAACTTGTCAGACAGATAGTCTATGACAGAGTGAGCAAAGCCAAAGGATGCTGGACGGCTCACTAATGAAATAATTTTTGGTCCAGTCGACAATCATTATTATCTAGGTTCATCATAAATATATGACCATAATGGCTTTATGCATACCACAAAATTAACTCTGTATACTTAGATATAAATTTAAATTTTTAAAAGTATTAATCCATTCAAACAATCAAGGTCCCACAGTCAAACATGACCAGAAGCATAAACCTATTTACGCTTTTGGTATTTAGCTGTATTTTGCCTCCCAATGACCTTAGATCTACTCTGAATCACCTTTTGACGTCAAGCAACAATCACTTTTTAATTGTGACGTCAAATTTTTGAATTATGATGTCAAAGAGGGTGGTAAAGGGTTATTTTCGTGCAACATGATCGCCGTTTTTTATTTCACGTTCAACATGTTTTTTCTTTTTTATTTAACATTCAGTCGTGCAAGACAGGTGCCTTGTTCAACGTGTTCTGCTTATTTAATTTTACGTGCATCGTGATTTTCAAATGCTTATTTTGCGTGCTCGGTATTTTTCAAATAAAATTCAAATACTTGGCAGGGATCGTCAAGAAATACTTTTTTAAAAGCCGTAAACCATTTACATCATAAATGTGTATACTAAATCGGGAATAACAAGTAAAACAAAGAGTTTATATATACAAGAAGACAGTGACTCAGTCACAAAAGGTTCACAACAGTCTTTATTTTTCGTGCAACGTTCTTGACAGAAATTATTTCACGTTCAACGTGAAATTATGTCTTATTTCACGTTTTTTTCCGTGCAAGCATCCCCCTGTACCACCGTCGTAAAAGTTTACGGGAACCTGTGTGATTTTACGTAATGGCCGACAAATTTGCATACAAGTGTAAATACGTCTATTTACAAGCACCCTGTTGTATAAAGCTAAAGGCCAGTATTGGTAACTATGACGTACCCACACAGATACAGATAACAATTACAAATGATGCATACAAAATAAAAGCAACAAACATGATACATTATGCAGTACATGTGTAATATTCATATATTAGGCCAAACAAAAAAGTATGTGTTTACTGTTACATGTACATGTAGCCGTTGCAGGTAGGGATTTTTTTTAATTTTTAATATTTTTTACATTGAGTCTATGGGAGCAACATTGTGACTTTAACAGTGCTTTTAAATCAAAAATGGTAAAAAAAAACATGAGAGTAGGCAGTAGGGGATAAAAATTAGGGTAGGTAGGGGTACAGTAAACACACATACTATTTTGTTTGGCCTTAGAGGATACGAACGCCCTTTATAGTCTATTTTTTTTATAGTCATATAGAAATTGTACATTTTATCGTCATGCATCAAAAATTACTGATATCCTCATTTGTCAACATTTTTTTACCTTGATTCATGATGAAAGACCCCCCCCCCCCCCCCCATTACAATCATCATATAATGTGACAGATATATTGTAATGCAGAATGATTACAAGCAGATTTATATGTCCATTGATGCAGCTCAGGTTAACATCAACATCATTTATTTGTGACATTATCTTGAAATTTATACCGTTATGAATAACTTAAAAATTTATTTTGTTGGTCAGCTGGAAAAGACAATAAGATATAAAAAGATCAATGTATTCTGTGTTCATGATGTTTCAAAATTTTTTATTTTACTCTTTATTTTGAGATTCTTTTTTTTTTCATTGTTCTGCAAAGTATTGTAAAATACATGAACACCTAAATTTATTTAATACGGTCACATTATCTTAAATTATTTATGTTATTAATCAAAACTATCAGAAACATATACTGTCATGTCTGGTATTGAGTAATTTTGTTTGTTCACTAAGTCCTTTTATTTTGTTAACACAACGTTTAAAAAAAAAATTGACAGCCAGCATCGTAATACAAAAAATTGGCAACTAGGGGGAAATTTTGTGATATCATTCAGCCATCATGTTTTCACACTCCATAAAAAAACTGCAAACTAATATAGAAATTATTATACTTTCTGCATACCTCTACACACTCGTCCTCACTTTATAAGAACACACCCCATCAGATGATAAACAAAAAATCACTGGAAGTGCACAGCACCTATTATATGAATATGATATTCATGATAAACTTCACCACATAAAATGGAAATAATTGTTTACAGTGTTAAACAATATAACCAAAGAAAAGGCTGTTTCATGAAACAAAAGTCCAAATAAAGACATATGTTTGGTTCCAGTTTCCCAACTGACTCTATTTTGACTCCTGATCTTAGCATTTCTATTCCCCTTCTGATAAAAATATAAAGATATCAACTTTCTATTTCCTTCCTAGTTGTGTGTCAAAGATAATTACCCATGTCAATGTATGTGCTCATGTACATGATGTATATTTTAGAAGATGTTCCACCTAATCATCAATCTAGCTATAGATAGTTTCTCCAAGTTGAATATTTAGTCGTATTTAATTGCATTACTTTCTATAAATACTATATAAAGCTTGACAGTGCTTTGAATTGTAAATAAAAGATTGACATTACTTCAAAGTATGTAAATATTATTTTGAAAAAGTTTTTTTTTTTGGTTTTTCAGTCCTTTGTGTGAAGAGTGTGTAAAGATAGCTACAAGAAGAATTGCACTAAAACAATCAAAGTCTGTAGCTGTTTTCAGTCGTTTAAACTCAACATTTCCTTACAATCCAACATACATTAGAAGTAAAGCATATAAGAATGACAATCTACAACAATTCACATATGGTAGTGGTAGTCAAGTTTCTAAAACATTCTTACCACAAATTCGTTTTGTTCATAATGTGATACCCAGACCATTGAAAACATTAAATATAACAGGAGCACCTGTTATTGTGTTAAATCATAGACAAATAGGAAAATTAGCTAGGGTTGTGGGTAGAGTACTGAAGATCAGATATTTTGTACTTGGCACAGTAGCTGGTGGTGGAGTGGTATTGAACCAGGTATATATGAAAACTAGAACTGTAACACATGTCAACACCATTTACTGTAAATATTAAATTATTCAAGAAAAGATTTTATAATTATTTATAAAAATAGCAATGTCTCAAATTAAATCTTTTCTTCTCTATCATGTCTATTCCATGGCCTTGCTTCTCTTTGAAATGCTGTTTGTATGAACTATAAAGTGACTTAGAAAGAAAAACTATGTGGAAACACAGTTTAAAAGATATGTGTAAAAATAAATCTTTGTTAATTTTCAACATGTTTTGTAATGTTGTTTTGAAATTTATGATTTTGTTTTCATTTTGTCTCTTATCATTGCATCTTTCTAATGAAGATTTGTAAATTTATTTTATTAGAAATATGAAGAATGGAAGCAGTATATTCCAGATATAGAATGGATGAAGGACTATCTGCCAGAGTCAGAAACATTGGATCATGTCAAAAATAATGTCCTGCGAACATTAAGGAGTATTCATCTTCCAGAAAAGGTTATTTATTATACATTTTACCCAGACAAAATAAAATTTTAATTCTTCAATGATGAAATTCACAGTTGACAAAATGGTTTACATTGTTTACAAATCTACCATACTAGTCATGCTAGTGGGCCTTGCACATTTCTCCAAACAATAAGTGTGTGCATGCTGCTATACATAAAATTACACAAATAAACCTATATGATACCACAAACTTAATACATGTAACAAACATTTAAGACAAAATAATGAGATTTGAACATTTTCAGCAGGGGTTGTAACTTCTCAGAAAGAATTCTTAGTTTCATACTTTTTAAGCTCCCATCACTGAGTAGCCAGGATGTAATTGTGTAACTTATGTTAATCAGTCCATCATTCTATCCCTCTGATATCCAACAGTTGTCCAGGCTCTTATCCTTCTGCTTGTAGATATTGAGTCAGTTTTCCAACTTAAGGTTGGTTGTTCTTTCCCGGCACCCCAGCTTCCTCCACCAATAAAAACTGACCACCACGAAATAGCACAATAGTTTTGAAAGTGGCGTTAAACACCAATCAATCAATCAATCAATGTAGATATTGAGCAGATTTTTATCTAAAAGTGTATAATATTGATTATTGATGGTGTTTTGTTTCAAATGTCATTCAGTTCATTGGGTTACAGCCCCTTGACACATAAGTAACATCTGCAAGTAAAAGTAATTCTTATTTACAAATACATCTAGTTCTGTTCTAAAATCAGCAAAGCACCTCTGAAAATCACTGGCTTGATGTTCACATGTGAAAGACATATGTCAGTGTAAATATGATATACATGGATTGTTATTGGTTAACTTCATGTTTGTCTACTTGACAAATGTTTTATAATATAAATCTATAAAATTTTCAAAGTATTCAACATGTTCTTTTATAATGCTTTTATAAATCAAGGTAAAAAATACTAAATTAGCTTCAAATGTCAAAATACTTTTTTGGAATTTTGTTTTGGTAAGTGTAAATAAAATTTGATTTAATTTGGGGTATATATATTCAGGTTTTCAACAATTAACAATTGTTCTTTACCAGATGTCAAGCTCTATCTTTTCTTTTAAATGAATTTACTGAAGCTACCAAAGATTACCTTTTAAAACCAAGCTCTTCAAATGACAAACCACTATGATGCTACTAAAGATAACCTATTACAAAAATAATTGG